ACAGTGTCCAGTAAATAGTCGTGCACCAAACTGTTAGAGGTGATAGCTGGGATCAATACCTATCTGCAACACAATGTAGGTATGTTCAACGAAATTGTGTATTTCAAAATTATACCATAAACGTGCAAAACAATTTTTTTTGTAAGTTTTGTATATTAAATTATTTGTGGATAAATACCCTATTTATTGGTAGGTCTAGATAATAACCTACAATTTATAATTTGGAACTTGAAGATCATCTAGATGACTGTCTTGTTGATCTCGATAGTGACTACTATACACATAATCCTTTCTCGGAATTCTATAATAAATGTAATGTACTACAGAGAGTTTAACGTTGATTTTAAGGAATGTAAATATTATTCTTAAATCAAGGATCACTTCAAACGTAGGCGATGTTAATCTTGTTTCAAATTAACTCCTCATCAAAGCTTTAAACAAAACATCCGGGGACGAATTAATTGTATTAATAGACTTACTTTCTCTTCGAGTTAAGCAAATGTTTAATCTAATATTTAATAAAAATAATTTTCTCAAATCTCATTAAAATAAGACATTCATCTCTTATAAATATCTACATAAGCATTTGTCAGCTAACTCTTCTTCAACAATTTAATATCATTATGGAAAAGCAAAACTGAAATATAGCTTAAAGATTAAAACATAAAAACAGTAATACTAATAAATATGTCCAATATCGTTCAGTTTCAGGTCGTCCTGTAAATATTCAGGCAGTTTAATGTTTTCCAGAGAGCGTAGGGGTGTCGGGGTGCAAGGTTCAAGATTCAATATTGTTTAAAATATAAGCGTTTAATTGCCGCTCCTCCACTTTAATTAAAGGAGACGCGGACAGCTGTAAAACACTTGTCGACTTCTACTGATGAGGAGAACGTGGTAAATGAATGCTTAATACAGATTTTACATTTTGTTTCACAATTAGGTAGATAGGAGTATTTACAATAATTCCTCGTGTCAAGTACAATAGGAAAATACTTGACACACAATACATACATGGAGTAAACAATATTTCTTTGATATAGTGTGCTGCAACTTCTAATTTATCACATAAGATTACTACTACAATAAAACATTTAATGTCATTGGCGCTTCGGTAACTTCTCTCACACGACGAAACACAAAGTAAGCGTGGTTCCACTTTTGTTTTCTGCTCGGCCGTGGTATCACTCCGGTCGAGCCGGCCCATTCGTGCTGAAGCATGGCTCTCACACTACAATTAGTGTTACCCGAAATTATGAGACAAAAGTTGTTTTATCCGTCTGCAGTAAATTGGTCTAGTAGTTAAATAATCCAGTGTAAAGTGAGAAAGCTCAACAAAATTCTTATTCAATGATTTGTTAATCAGATACTATCTGTTTATATGAAACGAATAAAAATAGTCGATCAAAGATCAACTTTGCAAGGATGTATTAAGGAGATTCAATTCAGATCAGCAACGATACAAATCAAATATAAGCTGAATAGAACTGAGCAGAACACGCAAATAAATAATACAAATCGACGTAATTCCAACAAATATGACGTCATACGATACGACATCAGAAAGCTTCGCAAAATTCCTGCTTTAAATGCCAGATACCGGTTTCTGGCTGAGAGCACAGAACAAAACGTTACGTCTCTATGAAGGAGAGTCGTTGTGCATTTTTATTGTTAGTATTGTAGAGAATGCCAAGACTATAGGAGAGAGCTTTCGGCACAAGTTTTAACTTAATAGCTCTGTATTCTGTATTCTTGCTTTTATTTTTGGCTGAGCGATGACGTCCTGAGATAAATATTCTCAGTGAACCTGTGTGACGTCAGCTAGTCTCCTTATAAAAATGTACATACATACGTCTTAGCTTTGAAGTTTATACTCCCGACATCATTATTGTGATGTGTATAAACCAGTGGCATTAAAGAAGATCACGTGAAAATTGTGCGAGGAAAAGTGAAAATCTTCAACAACATAAGCACAAAATGAAATAAATATCGTCGACTAAGAAAAGTAAATAATGGAGAACATAATACTAAAGTAGACCAAACAAAAACTAAATAAAGAATAGTGTTTGTATTTTATGAACGATACAAAATAATATCGGTAAAAAGTACTAACGTAGGTACTTACAATATTCTGGGCTGTTGCCAGATTCCATAGCAACCCAATCTAGGGCATCCTCTGTAGACTTAGTGACTTGTAATAGTTTTCAAGTAATCGATCTAAGGCGGTACTCAAGGAGTCTGTTTGTTGAAACGTCTCTTGGCTACGAATAGTTGCGCACACTTCGATATGTTCCCGAGAGTTGGTGCTCTAATAAAATTACAGTTAATTTCCAATAGCTCTCTAGCCTCGTAACGTACGTGTGTGGGTTTACTTCGGATGGAATGTCACTTCATCAAGAGCCGTCGTGTCCTCCTACGCGTATTTATTTTCTCCCAAGAAAGGGTATCAGCCGCGATCTATATCCGACCTGAACAAAATGTTAATGAAGGTACTAAAATGTTGCGTAGGTACCGAGAGTCTTCACCCAACTTAAAACCCCGGAAGCACCCCGAAAGATTTTCTAACTAAGATAATGAGTTAGTCCAGTTTTCTCGAACACCCACCCGAGCCGGAAAACATAAACTTTAAAATGTTAACAGACACTAACATCGATCATTTCCCACGATAACGAGGTCGGCGGCGCGCGGCGCCAGGCGGCCACCAGCAACTTCTTTCAGCGCGAGATCAAAGGCGAGTTCTTTCGAGGCCGTAACTTATATCAGATCCCAGGTACTTTTAATGTTTGGGGTAATTAGCGCCCCAAAACTTCCCCATCCGGGGTAAGACGATAAATTAAACAAAAATGGGACATCCAAACAATCTGTGTTGTGAACAAGCTACAAATTTGTCGTGCGCGACATTTTCAGCGGCTATTTATTTACGAATTAGCATTAGGGTGCGCCCCATCATTGTTCCACGAGCTCATGTTACTGGAGCCATTGTATTCAGATGTATAGGCATCCTGTTATTATTCAATCTGTTAAATGAGGTGGACATTTTTGGTCAAAATAGTAACACAATAAATAGATCATTCACTGCAAAATAAGATTCACTAGCGTTCTATATTTATTTTCAGCAACGGAACCAAAAATAGAAATAAAAGGCACTACAGACCGCCTCTCAGTAAGCCTTAACTAATAAAATTAATAAGTTTATTAAATATCAATCAGGTTAATTACTTCCCTGGCTGGAAATAGGTTGTGGAACAAAGCGACGCCACCAATAATAACGTTATTTATTTAGTAAACCCGATAGACGCAGTATCGAGGAGCCATTAACGTGGTAACTTTTCGGCTGCCCCATTTCAAAACCTAGTAAGGGACACTTTTTACAAAAATCGTTTTATTGCATAATCTTCCTAACCAAGTAAGTCCCTACCGAATACAAAAACATCAGCGTTAAAAACTCACTTAAAAGCAGATATATTTAAGCATCGATACCTAGTAAGTGCACTATCCACTCCCTTGTGACCAAATTAAAACCTAGTAAGTCACTTCAACCAATTCAAAACCTAGTAAGTCTCTGGACTTACTAGGTTTTTAAATGATCGTTGCACCTTACTAGGTTTTTGAAATCAAGAATCCAATATAAACAAAGGGCGGGGTAGGGCGGGGGGATCCGCAGCAAGCCACACACGTATCACTCGCTCGTGCTTCATTCGGCGTCGATGCGCGAACGAAGTAACTTGTGTCCCTGTTTTAGTTTATACTTCAAAAAATGAATCGACAAATGCAATTTTACCGTTCGAAAAAGATTGTGGCTGCTGCTAATAAAAATAACAATATGGATAGTCATTTAGAGACAGAGTGGTAAGTTTAATTTACCTACATTTCTTTTGGCATGTAATAAACACGTGAACTGACATCATATACCTATACAAAGCCTAACTCTTTGTTTTTTTCGTTATATTTGTTTTGTTTGTTATGGTTTTGAGTTTGTTGGTATTGGCTTCAAAAGGGGTTATTGGTGACTTTTAAATAATATTATAAAAACGGTTGCGATTTGTTTGTGTTTTGCATGTTTTTCTTTTCTTTGCTTCAGTTTGTCTGCTAATAACTGCTTAATTGAACCATCTACTTCCTCATCGCAAAATATTGAAGAATTAATTACAGTTAGCGATTTGGACGACTCGGTTGAGGATCCTGATTTTGAATTACCTACGTCTGTAAAAGATACTTCTTCTGATAATGATTTGACATTCCGTAATATCGTATTAGGTGATACTCTACTCCAGCAAAATAGACAACCTGAAATACATTTTGTTGCTGCATATCCTGGTCCAGTCTTTAATTACAATGCTACCCAGCAATTAATAGATGATTCTGTACCAATTGTTATAAAACAAAATAAAAATAAAATAAAGCATCCCATGATAATAAACAGTTGTGATGGTAAATGCAAGAGGCAATGTGCTACGTTTTCACAGGAATGGCGGAAAGAAATTTGGGATAAATATTGGGATCAAAATTTTATATCAAGGCGTAGTTTTCTGAACAAATGTGTCAACATATCTTCAATAAAGCGACGTAAAATTGAAATGAGAAATTCTAATGAGACTTTTTTAAAGAACGAAAGTCGTTATTTTTCATTGCCAAATAAAGACAACGAATTAATTCCCGTGTGTCGAAATTTTTTTTTGGCAACTCTTGGCTACAAAACTGATGCCGTGATAACAGAGCTAAGTAGAGCTATAAAAAAAGGACTGCTGAATGCATCTGTTTCCAAAGAAAATAGAGGTGGCAATAGAAGAAAAATTAATGGAAACATCATAACCGAACATATAATGACTTTTCAACCCACTATTAGTCATTATCGCCGTCACAATGCACCATTTACTAAATATCTACCGAGACATTTAACATTACAACAAATGTACAAAGATTTTAAGCAAAAAAATCCAAATTTTAAATGTGGAATTGAATTATACAGGCAAAAAATAAAAGAACTGAAAATATCATTTCACATGCCTAAAGGCGATAGGTGTGTAGAATGTTCGATGTATGAAGAAGAACTGAAGAAGTACAGTGATGTCAACTCAATGCCTGAAGAAATAAAAACAAAATATGAAAATCATAAGTCTAAAGCTGACTCTGCTTTACAAAGATACAGATTAGACGGAACAAACAAAAACTCAAACAGAGTTAAATATATTTCAATGGATTTGCAGAAAGTGATCATTTTACCAGAAATGCCTGACATTAAAGATGCATTTTTCATGAGTCGTTTGGTTACTTTTAATTTAACATTTGCTCCAATTGAAAAAAAGTCCAGCGATTTTGCCACGTGCGTCCTTTGGCATGAAGCTCAATCTGGACGAGACGCAAGTGATATTGTAAACGCTATATATGCTTTCTTACAGGCTAATAGGGATATGGAGCACTTGTATATATGGACTGATAATTGTACAGCCCAAAATAAAAATTGGACCCTTTACACAGCAATGATTACGATAGTCAATAACTCCTCGAATGATCTTAAATCGGTAACAATTAGCTATCTAACAAAAGGTCATACTCACATGTCCGCGGATGCAGTTCACGGCAATATAGAATTGAAAATGAAGAGACAAAAGAATATATATGATTTTCAAGATTTTAAGGATACTGTGATGCAATCAAGGAAAAATATAAAAGTTATAGAAATCACTTGTAGATATGACTGGCCAAAAAAAAAGAGAGCTGTACGACATAATGATCCCCTTAAAGATTTTAATTTAAACTCTGTTGTACAAGTGGAGTTTATTGCTGGATCAAGAAACCTTTTTTATAAAACAAGGTACATAATTAAAATTAATTTAATTAAACATCATATTAGTCAATTTTTTTCCTTTTTTTTACTTTAATTTAAATTTATTTTTTCAGATTTGATGAACCCTCTCGGGAAGTGGACTTTTTAATTAAAAAGTTTGATTGCACTGTTCTACCCAAAACTATTGTCACTCACTATCAAAGGGGCATTAAACAGAATAAAAAAGAAGAAATTATCAATAAATTGGTATGTTTGATGCCTGAAACAAGAAAGTCATTTTGGCATAATTTACCTGTGAATGACGAGTCTGCGGATTTGACAAATGATGGGCAAATGTCTGTACTTGAATAGAGTTCGGCTGCTGCAAACAGCGAAACATTTGTTTTGTTTTTTTTTTAATTAATAAACTTTTGTATTCAATAAACCATTATTTTATTTAAATACGCTATATCCTTACTAGTATTTACTCAGATGCTAAGTTTCATATTCAATAAATCAGAACAAAACCTAGCAAGTGCTCTTACTATGTTATGAAACCAGTTTCTAGATGAAAGTAACTATCTCGTGTCAATTATCAAAATTAGTAAGGGGTTTAAAATATGCAATATACACATATATCAAAAAAACGTTAGTACTATGTGTTCATTATTTAGTATTTTTTACAACCAATAGTATTTTTTTTATTTAACATAAATACTTTTTGAAGGCTGACCTATATTACGTTTATGCACTCTCGTGTAAAATTTAGTTTTAGGTCTTTACTAGGTTTTGAAATGGGGCAGCCGTTTTGATCTATTACATTGTACTTACATTGGATACTTGGCAGTTATTGCAGAAGATCTACTCTGAAATTTATTTACTTGTAGGTTTTTTGAATGATGTTAGGCAAACGGTCCTCTGTCGGCTTGCGGTAAATCCGCAACATCAACAGAAGTATAAAGAAGTAACTGTAATTTGATGTTAAAAGTAGGAAGCTTATTAAATATGATTCACGAAACATAACCTTACTAGATAGAATAGTAGATAAGAAACCTAAAGACAAAACTAATAAGTTAATGGTAATAAAGTCGTTAAAACTTAAAACTATTCATACTTTTATTGTATTTTGCTTGAAGCTTGGCAAAAAGCGAAGTTAATCAAACTATTTGGGGTCAGTAATTAAAAGTTTAGTAATATGGAGTCGAGACCTCTGCGCGACGCTCCTGTGAGCAAGATTGACATTGTTGGCTTGTTCGACCAATTTAATTAGCTATTATTATTTAGGAACATTAATTATTATTGATTTATTAATAGACATGTTATTATAATGGCATTATATAGTTGGTAGATTATGACTTAATTTTGTGTCTCATTACTTACACTGCACTATTTGTCACAAAACATTTTTATACGACTACATTATTACGTTGACATATTTCCGAGTCCCGATCTCTACAGATAGTGGCCCTAGGCTAGGATTTACCTTTAACAAATGTAGTTAGATTTTGCTTCAAATAAAAATAACAATCCATGTCGTTATGTCTACACTCTAAATACCAAGCTATCCGAATCTTTTCGAAGACTCAGTACATCTTACATTCCCTAGATGCATGAAAACTCGCGAGTACAAACCAACAAACAGAAAAGTACCGCTCATTTCATTTTCCTCTGCTCAAATACACCACATTTACCTTGAATCCCACCATACATCACATCCAACGATTTCGACGCAAAGAAAGCACGTAAGCAAATAAGCACGCTAAGCAATCTACGTAGCAATCCCCTTATGGATAAATAAAGCATAAACAGCCATACCGAGGAAATATTCACGGTAACAAAAAAAGAAATGGCGGAGCGAATTTGGAGTGGGAACTCGAGGTTCCGCACACAAGATGTGCGCTTTAAAATGGCGGCTGTTCCAATTGTTACGCAGACATTTACTGCTTTGTACGCGTGCTTTGGATTCAATTGTATTCTTTAATATAATAGACATTTATGAATGTGACGTTACGTTTAATTTTGGTTACTCTAAAATATATCTTGTCTGGATTATATTGTGGTGACACAGACTACACCGCACACTTAACCATTTACTGGGAAAACAAACAATACAGTATGTGTGAAACAAGACTGAGAAAATATTACACAACGAGCACCGCACACCGCACCGGCCTCCAACCGCAATCAAGTCAGGAAAACACAGCAGGTTCCAGGACTACACCTTGTACTCCTTAATCCCAGGCAAATTACAAGCGACACCCGTACATCACTTCACAGTACATTAAGACAAGGGTACTTACACCTCACTCCACGGGACCCCAAACCGTGCACTTCCCACGAATAAAGGAGTAAAAGTTAGATTTATGCGTCACTTACTTGTGTTTATTGTCTTAGAACACACTAGCGCAGCTTATACATATGTATTGTACACAAATTTTAGCCTAGAATAGAAATATAAGGGAGAGAAAAGGGCTTTCAAGTTTCTATTATGTCTCCCAACTCGTAGGTAGTGAATGGAAGCGTTTATTTTTATTTACTGTTTTGTTATCATTAGTGGAAGCAGTGTAGCAAATATAAAAAGGTGTCGGCTGCATCATTAGCAGATATAATTAGTCGATAAATCCAAGAATTGTGAGCTAACAACAACAATACTAAGCACTAAGGAGGACGGAGTACTGCCCTTCTAATTGGAGATATTGTTATTGTCACCTTCTCAGTTATCTTATGCTTGGATAAATTCAAAGAACTATGGATACATTAGTTTTTACATGATATGATTGAACAATGAACAGCGATACATCAATGTTGCTCTTTTCAGCCAAATAGAAATTCGATATAATACGAACGACCTGTATCAAAATGTAGCATTGCATAGAACACATGAGAGGCACTTCATATAATAATATTATTGTCATTTTAGTTGAAATCAGTGAAGTCATGCAAAAACTACCAACACTATAATTTTCTACACTAGTTATGAAATATGAAACCGGAAAACTAATTCTAAAAGTAACCCAACCTTGAACTTGTAAAAATAAATTCAAATACAAACTATCTCCCTCCTACCTCCTTCCTCACCAATTACCGTAATTAAGAGCCCAATACATTCAACTCCTTAGCAAATAACTGAGGAGTAACACGACAGTTACATAGGAGGGCTTACCCAGTATCTAATAAGAGCGAGCTGTGACGTCACTGGCTAAGCTACGTGCTAACTTGGCCAACTTTGTGATCCAACTTGATGAAGTTATCGTATGAAAATTAACAGGAGACTTGATCTTCTAATAGTTTTCTGCTTGTCTTGTAAACTGTTTCCCGGCTGTGTTTTGTTGTGAAAATGTTAATGACAGTGTTGTGAGAAAAACAGGACAGATTTAAAATATTTCCAAGTACTGAGGCCTGTGTCACAAGTCCGATCTCAAACTGAAAGTACCTTAAAAGTTTATTAGTAAAGTGCCACAGTTTTTTAAATGAAAATTGGTACAAAATTTTATTAAAGGCCAAAGCGACTTATTTTAATCACATCACTAAAATCTCGTCGCTAGTTCTAGGAAATAGTGAGCACTTTGTACATAGAATAAATAAAATTATAATGTAGATAGAGCACCGTCGAAATGTACTGCCATGTTTATATTTTCTAACAAAATCCTGTTGGAAATGTTCGCTACTCGACATGTCCATTTGTGAACATGTTTATTCATATTTTTAGTATTTTAGCTAGTGTGCATATTTTAACTATGATAGTTTAACATGACGGACATTGAGTGCCATTGAACGTTACTCCGGACATGATGCCCTCACTATATTTCACAAACATGTAAAGTTATGTCTATTTATGCAGGAGACGTAATGTTTCAAAATCTTCTTTATAAAGTTCCATGCAAACAACAAAGAATACATTCTGACAACTTTTACAAAAATATTTCATGTTTTACAAAATAGTTTATAATAGTTGACCCAGTAAACTTCGTAACGCCTAAAATGTATTTTCTCATCTTTTGAATCGTTCCTGGAACAAACATTTCAGACCTAAAATTAGCCAAATCCGTTCAGCCGTCCTCGAGTTTAAAGAGAGACTAACAAACGGAAATTCATTTTTATTTATATAGATTTCACACGTACTTCCAAAATGGACACGTGACTCAATTAAACATACACAAAATAAAATATTTAAACATTCATTTTGATTCGACGCACACATCGGCGCGCATGGTGACATGTCATCCTTTACACGAATGTTCAGTAAAAATTTTATTTGTCAACAAAACAAATGTTTGAAATAAAACCGTACTTTATGACGCTTTGTTGCAGATCGTTTGAAATTTTAATCTGGGAGTTATAATAAAAATTGGATTTGTGTGTGGCGATAAAGATTATTTTGTTGGAGATATTATGGCAACATATTGTAATGAACATGGCTTCGGATTTTGCATTTTTGTTCATAAAATTGGTTTTCGTTGAAAATATCTATTATTTGATTCGTTTGTGACAAATGCAACAATAGCCCAGGAGTTAATTAAAAAAAGCTTATTGTATTCCAAATCTCCTGATGGTCTATAAAATAACTCTATCACAATATTTTATTTATAACAATAGTTTTGACTACTATTACATAGGATCTTTATTAAAAAGTAAAGGACAAACCGAGTGGACATTTTCGGCACAGTCTAACTAGAATAGTTTCAAATATCATCGATATTCCAAAAATTTCCACGGTTTGTGTCTTTCCATTTATAAATCCATCTAAAATCAAAGGAATGGAAAATAGATTTAGAGTTCTACAGCTTGTGCGGAGGAACTGCGTAGGTTTAAAATATATTCTCTAGAAAAAGGCAGAACGTATTTTCTCTTTAAATAAACGTAATATTTAGAAGCACACGTATAACATACGCTGAGTAAATATGGCTAAAAAGTAACACAATCAATGCAGTCATCATGTACAATACACAGTATAAAATGTTGGCCACAAAGCTTTGAACATTACACATTATTATGAAGTGCAAACAAAACACGAGCGCAGCACAATGCGTTTATTAAAACAGCTCAGATTTGCAGCACTTCAGTAACGGGATGAACTCAAAACATTAGAATTAAAAGAGCTCCACTTAATTCTATTAGACCGCTTTGCATGCTGTGTGCTGCAGTTTTAAAAATATGTGCTTTAGTTCTGCCAGTTAAATTAAATGTTGTTCAACAGTTTTAGTATTTTCTCTGCTAGTATTTAATCCACTTTCGAAGAGTAATTGCAATAACGCTGTTCTGTACAAACTGTTAGAGATTTTATTACATCAGCTAAAGTTTTGAGAACTTAACCTCTTAGTTTGAATGACACAATGCTAATCCGTGAAGATTATCAGATAATCACAGTAACA